ATAATAATAGGAAGATATTTAACAAGTATGTTTCTTGAACTTGTGTGGATGAACACTGTGGAGCAGATACCATCAAAGGCTGTAACATCATGCATCCTTCAGAACACTGTGGATATCCAGCAGAGGTGATTGTCTTTCTTCTGTGTTCCCGTTTTAAAAACTATGACCATTTATCTTTCCTCCATCCTGAACTCCTGCCCCAGTTGTCCTTGTCTCCCAGATATAACCAGTGTAGTGGATTCGTTGTCAATAAGCTGATGCACAAAACTTGGACAATTCTTCCACTAATGGTGGTCCAAGGACACTTGCAAATTATTCTGGGTCATATTTATAAAGGGTGTGTGACATTTGACCAGCCATGTACCTGAATCTCTAGAATGCTGGAGTTTGTACTATACATGGTTGACATAAAAGTAGAGCAGAGAGGATATATCTGTCAATGTGCAGTTATTGAATACATACCTTTTGATGCTCATTCATTTAATCAGCTAACATTTACTGAGCACCTACTATCTATCCATTTAGATCCTAGGAATAAAGTAGTAAATAAGAGCAACAAAGTCCTTGCCTTCATGAGCTTACATTTACCAATAAAAAAATGATGGAAGATCAGAGTGATATGTGTTAATAAGAAAATAAATAAGGGCTATAGAGTATGAGACAGATGGGAAGATCAGAGAAGGCATCTCAGAGGAAGTAACATTTGAGATTATACTTGATTAATAAAAGACCCTTTAGAAGATCTAGAAATGAGACTAAATGGGCACTCCAGCCCAGGGGCAAGGCAGGAGGGGACAGGAAACCAGGTAATGGGGAACCCAAGGTTGAGAAGGGGAGAGCGTTGATGTGTTATGGGGTTGGCAACCAATGTCACAAAACAATATGTGTATTAATTGTTTAATGAGAAACTAATTCGCTCTATAAAACTTCATCTAAAGAACATTTAAAAAGAAAAAAAGAAGAAGATCTGGGAGAAGAACATTCTAGGCGTAGAGAAGAGCAAGTACAAAGGCCCATGGCTGGAATAGGCTTAGTGTATTCAAGGAACAGAGAAAATGCCAGTGTGACTGCACCATAATAAGTGAAGGGGAGAGTGTTATGAAGGGCCAAGTTGCACAGGGCCTTGTAGGATGCAAGGAGAAATGGAAATGTCTAGCACTGAAGTATTGAACATGAGGTCAAGGAGAGCTAAACTGATTGAGCCAAACTTTACCCTTCTTGCCTGAGACTTTTTGTTAATTCTAGTAGCTTTAGCTTCATAGCTTTTAAAGAGGCTGCCCAACATCTGACAAGAGTATGAAAGTTTCTCTCTATCATTTGACAAGTGGGCATATTTTATGTCTTTTGGACTCTGAGAACCCACACTAAGGAAGACAGAAAAGCAGTTTATCTCATAATCTTCATTGTGTAATGAAGCTGCATCTGAACTTCAAAAATGGACGTGTTTTCATAGCATCCTTCTCAGATGACACAGGCATGGGCGTAATCAAGAGTGCTTGCCAGTAATTGACTTCACTGGAAACCTAAGGAGGAGTCATTTTGATTAACTTAGTTTGTAAACCCAATGGACAGCAGCCATCTACACGCTTTCGTTTCTCATAATGTCTGGCATGTTCGCAACTTTCAGTGAATGGGTACTAGATAATATGAACAGTAACCATCATTTGGAGCTATCTTAAAATTATTAGTTGGTATGCTAATCCAATCTGTCAGGATTGTTATCAGTTGGTTGTAAAAACACTTAGTTTTGAATAGCTGTCCTTGAAACTTTGTATTTTTGACAGCAGGCATCCCTTAATGTTTAGAATAGATATGGTCTTGAAATGTCCTCCATAAAGTAAGATTAAATACTCTCACCAACATTTATAGTTGACTTTTTTCTTAGTTTTACCAGGCTACTTCTTTTTTTTTAATTTTTTTTTATTGTACTTTAGGTGAAGGTTTACAGAACAAACAGTTTCTCATTAAATAGTCGGTACACATATTGTTTTATGACACTGGTTAACTACACCAGGACATGTCAACACTCTCCCTTCTTGACCATTTTTTTTTTTTGTGAAAATATACATAGCCAAAGATACACCATTTCAAAAATTTCTGCAGGTACAATTCAGTTACGCTGATTATGTTCTTCCTGTTGTGCTGCTATTCTCACTTTAGATGAAGGTTTATAGCACAAAATAATTTCTCATTAAACAGTTAGTATACATGTTGCCCTATGACAATGGTTGAGAACCCCACTACATGTCAACACTGTCCTTACTCAACCTTGGGTTCCCT